CTCTCTCCCTCCTCCCATATATATGGATATAGATATACATACACATTTTTTCCTCCACCAGCACTAGGCCCTGAAGTCTTCCTACAAGTTTCCACAAGTTTGGTTTTTATTTCCCTCAAAAGTAAAACAAGACATTCTCACATTCTACAAGTAACAGGGAAATGCACCAGGAAATGACTGTACAGGGAATGTAATTGATCATTCACTCTTTACATTTGAAATAGTCACAGGATTGGCTAGTAAGAACAGTTTAAAAAAAAAAAAAAAAAATCCAAACTCACTGCCGCCCAGTCGTTTCTGACTCATAGTAACCCCTCCTTGGGTTTCCAAGGTGGTATCACTATGGAAGTAGATTGCCCAATCTTCTTTCCGAGGAGTGGCTGGTGGTTTGAATCCACTGGGAGTGGCTGGTGGTTCATACCCAGTGGTCAGCAGTCAAATGCCTTAGGCACTACACCACCAGTTCTAAAATCTTCAGGGCCTTTGAATACATTTGAAAAAGATTGTACCTTTGATGTGTAATTTTTTTAAAATCTATCACCTGCATTTGAAATTAGGAAATGTCATATCTGATCATTGTTTTCATATTTGCTTTGTTTTCAACAGTGCCCTTAAAGATAGCCGTTTTCCCCCAATGACAAGGGATGAGCTACCACGGCTTTTCTGCTCAGTGTCTCTGCTCACTAATTTTGAAGATGTCTGTGATTATTTGGACTGGGAGGTAAGATTATCAAAAAGGTTTAAAATAAAGTGAAGGTAAATCCTGAGTAGCTATTAAAGATTAGGCCTAGAAAATAACTCTTTCAGCCCATTCTCTCTTGTAATGGAGGTCCAGAGCAACACGCACAAAAAAAGTTCACAGTTGATCAGTGAGATATGTATGATGGAGGTTTGTAGAATGGTATAATCCCCAAACTGCATTTGATCTTTATTTTTATCCTACTACTTCACCAGGGAACCTCATAAAAGCTGTTAATAAGTAGTTAGAAGGATTGATTGGAACTTATTTCTCCTTATTTCCATTCTTGTGCACTCTGGTATAACTGCCACTAAGTGATTAGATGGTCAGAGGATGCAGGAAACAAGGAGCAAAAGAGTTAGGCTACTACACCAGTTGGGGAAACCAGCTCACAGATAATAAGAGAATGTTGATTAACTACAGTTAAATAATGCTAATTCATTCTTTGCTACCTTAATTTATGCACTTAATCATGGCAAATAATATTAAGGTTATATCTAGGCTATGTCTGTATATTTCCATTTGGAGTAGATTGTATTTTTATTATTCTTTAGGATATGTGGTTGGCTTGTTAATGACATTCAGAGGTCCTAACCATGATCTACTTTGGTGGTTGGGAGGTGGTAACCGAGTGTATGTCTGTGAAGTCTTATCCACAAACACACCCCATACAGAATACCCACTGTATTCCAGGAACTAACTGTACTACATGTACAAAAGTGGTAAAATTTGGCCCCTGCCATAAAAAACACCTGACAGTAGTAGCAGAGAGAAATAAGTATACAGAAATAAGTGCTGTTATTAGAATGAAATGATGGGAATTCAGTGATATGCATAGCATTCTTTGTCATAAACATGCTCATAAATAGCATTACTATATCATTATGATATACCATGTCCTGTTTTTTTAGAAGGAGCATCTCCCATAGTAACTGAGATATTTTGCCTTGTGGATAGATCATTATCTTGACAGTTAATTGGACCTGAATTTTATTTTTGGCTTTGCCCTGATTCCTAGTGAGTCTTTGGACAATTCACTACACTGCAATTCAGTTTTTCCACATTCAGAATAACACATTTATGAGGTTCTTAATCTTCATTTGAAAAATCTCTATGCTATAAATAAAGTATTGTTGTTATGCCAGAACTATTTAGAAACTTTTCTGCAGAGAGTAGGATGAAAGAGTTCCTTCTGGGTTTTGTGGTAAGACTTTTTTGGAGCATTATCAGAATATGAAACCATTTTAAGATTTTTCATAAAGAAAAAATTTGTAATGCTGATTCTAACAAAGTTAGAATGTATAAAACCTTTTGTAGAACAGGCATTTCCTAATTTATATTTTTATGTAAGTTTATTTTTCCTGTTTTGAATTTTTCTTATTAAAGTCTATATATTACAGAAATGTTCCCCAGTGCTTTATTTTTAAAAGATCCTAAATCATATCCCCTACTTATTAATAAATATAACAATTTCGGATGATTCTCTTCCTGTTATAAGGCTGCTGCTGCTGCTTCCCTAGCCAGAATTATGTATTCTGTTTTCTGGATTGCAGTGCGTGTGTGTGCACGAGAGAGAGAGATGGACAGATGTGAATCATATGTGTGGGTGCATATGTTTTGGGGGAAGGAAAAATAGGTATCCAATAGTTGACGGTGAGCCCAGAGTACACCCTCATCCTCTTCAGCCCACTTCAAGCACTGTCTACACCTAAAGTTAACTTTAATATTATTATGCTTTCATGTTCATGTCTTTTCTGTTCGGATAGTGGGAGGTAAAACCCTTAGGAATTGTGTACTCTTTCAGGGTATATTTATGCTCTCTGGTCATCATCTGTGAGCATGAAATCTAGAAGATTCTATACCGCTTTGTGATATTGGGTATCGAGTACATTCCTTAGGGGTTAAATATTGGTGTCTGTTAAGTTTTGCTTTCCTGTTGAAGCAAAAAAATAAACATGCATGCACCTGTATTTTTACATTTTTAATATGTAAGCATTTGAAAATGAATTAAGTACTGCTAGAATGGCTATGGTGAGAGGAAAAGACTGTCTTTTTTAGTTAGTTCATCAGAGTGAAAAGTATTTGGCATAAGAAAAATTTATTCCCAAAGGGTGAAAATTACTTTTTTAAGTGCAAGAATGTGGTTTGGGCTTAAAAAAAAAATGAACCACAGTCAGTGACTGAAAATGGAATGGTGCTATTGTAGGAATGATATTCTAAGTGTTCTTCTTTATAACTCTGAAAAAAGCATTACTACTTTAAACACAAGAGTGCTAAAAAGTAGATTAAAAGACATTTAAAAAAATGATATGTTGATATAATTCCACTCCTTGTATATGCCCAAACAGGTGTTCAAACAAAAATTTGTACACAAATGTTCATAGCAGCACTATTCACAACAGCCCAAAGGTAGAAGCAACTCACATATCCATCAGCTGATGAATGGATAAATACAATGTGGTATAGCCCTACTGAAAACAGAAACCCAAACCTGTTACCGTCGAGTTGATCCCAACTCCTGGTGACCCCATGTGTTGCAGAGTAGAACTGCTCCATAGGATTTTCAAGGCTGTGGCCATTTGGAAGCAGATCACCAGGCCTTTCTTCTGAGGAACCAAGGTGGGTTTGAACCGCCAACCTTGTGGTTAGTAATCAAGTGCTTGCTTAAGTGTTTGCACCAACCACCAAGGGACTCTGTATATCCATAGAATGGAATATTAATCAGCCCTAAAAAGGAATGAAGTATTGATACACGCCACAACAGGATTGAGCCTTGAAAACATTAGGCTAAGTGAAAGAAACCAGACACAAAAGGTCATATATGTATGATTCCATTTATATGAAATATTCAGAATAGGCAAATCCTTTGAGAAGACAGATTAGTGATTGCTGGGGGGCGGAGAGAGGTAGGACGGAACAAAAAGTGATTACTTGATGGTACAGGGTTTCCATTTGGGATGATGAAAAAGTTCGAGAACTAGAGAGTGGTGACAGTTGCACAATATTGTGAATGTCCTTAATGCCACTGAATTATAGCCGTTAAAATGGTAAATTTTATGTGTATTTTACCACAATTAAAAATGCCAAAATATCTTATATAGATAAACTGACTCTCCATAAGAATCATTCAGATGTACTGAAGAAGAAAACTTTAAAAATTAAAAGACGTATAAAAATGAAATACAAAATATTCATAATGCCAGCATTCTGGAGTAGGCACTGTTAACATTGTGGTACATTTCTTTCATTCTCTTTCTGTGTCTTTGTATCAGTATATTTGCATATTCATTTATGTAACTGGTATCATACTGAAAATAAATGAACTGCATATAAGTGTGGTATCATAATGAACTGAAGAGAAGCCATTGTTTAAAAGAAAATTATGGGGAGATCTTCGTCTATGGTTTATCTTCACATATAAATATATTTATATTATATTGGGAATTTCCTTTATGAGAAATAAGTCTGTACTATGAAAATATACTCTTCACTATGAGACAGTTGACACTGTTTAATAGGTACAATTTTTCTTCCACAAATGAAATTTCCTATTCACAGTAAATATCTAATTTTAAATTGAAGTGCAAAATATGTGTGTCAGAGGGAAAGCAAGGATATCATTATAGAATGTTACAGAATTGCTGTAGAATGGAGAAGTTTAAAGTCAAAAACAAGTAATGAATATATTTTATACATAAGCAGAAACCTCTAACATATGGTTTTTCTGGTCCAACTATAGTTTGGGAGTTGACCCCCACTGTGAAGTGTGTTACTGCAGTAGAATTCCTAATTCAGAGCAGGAAGAGAGCAAAGTCTAAAAATCCCAAAGCTTAGTTAAGTCATTTCAGTAACAAGAGAGTTGTGGTTGTGAGGATAAGGAACGTGACCAGTGGTAATAGCCACCTAATTTTCAAATGATCTGGGAACAAGTGAACTGCCACAGGGCTACCTACCATCTTACTGTCTTCTTCCTCTAAGGTTTTTAACTCAGTCTATTGGAAAATTCTTTTGGTAACATGCCTCTCATTTTATAATGGATATGAGTAGGGAAGTAGGCTTTACTTCAAACTTTGTTTTAGAGGCTAGAATGCATCTATTTGTAAGGTAAGGAATGCTTGATAAATGTTTTCACAGGTGGATGTAATTAATCTTTAATTAAGGTAATTAATGTTGAATTGAAAGAAATGATCAGTAATGCTTCCATATGTTATATTTCCTCAAAATAGCAATTACCACATTTAATATTAGTGTCTATACGTAGCTACTCAATAAATCTGGGGAGATTTTATAATGGCTTATTGAAAACACCATCCCTTCCACAATGGCTGTAAAGACCAATTGAAACTGATCCCAGCCTCCAAGGATCACTGATCATTGCCCACGTCAAGATCTACTTATTGTCCCAGTAGGTATGAGAAGGATGATGAGTGATTAATTTTGGGGAAAAAAAATTATGAGCTGATAAATTGAAATATCTACCTGCAAGGCTAAAATGGTTGTTAAATGAGGAAAATTGCTCCCCTAGGGGGAAATCCAACATGATTCTTCCTTGTGTTTGAACACAGGAATTTATCACCTTTGTTCTGTGCTCTTCACTCGACAGCCTTATCTTAATTCTGAATGACAGGATGATTGACAGATACAGTACTTTAGAAAGAAAAGCTCGTGCAGCATACTGGAGCCCTGTAAAGCAATATATGGCCTAGAACTGATACCGTTAAACTAGTTGGGAGCCACATTTCCTTTTAAAGATCTAAACGGATATAAAACCAATTTCATTATAATAGTTGGAATTTGACTTGAGAGGTAATTCTAGGTCTGTCATCTTCTAGCTACTTGTTTTCAGGATGATATAAATGAATAAGCTTTTTGTTTGTAGAAGAGCTCGTATAGCAAGTATGCTACCAGTGATCTTTTGGGAGCAAATGTAGCAATCTGCTGACAGAAGTCAAAACATTATCTAAATTGTAGTCAGGCATCTT